GAGAGATTACCGTGTCAGACAGATGCAAGGACAAATCGTGGAGAAGGAGAGAGAAGAGAAGAGAACAGTTGAGAATATTCACAGTCGATATTGCGCAGTGTGAAGGCTACAACTCCCTCGAGGTTACACATCTTTGTTGGATGGTATATATATGTTGGTGTACAAGTCAAATATATATATATATATATAATGTGTGTTAATATTGAGAGAGAAATAAAATGACGTACAATCAGTAACGGAAATGAGCTTGAAGAAATAATAAGCAAGGCAACCCGTTAAAATACGTGGTCCAACTACGCAGTCACAATCTTTCTGCATCGTATCCTTCGCTTATTCTCAAAATTCCATTACAAAATTATCAATCATCACAAATTTCAATTTCTGTCCTGGTATTTGATGACCATATATTTGTCATTTTTTTAACATTATTTTACACGAATAACCGAATACTTATCGATCACGAGAGAACTGTTGTTATAGTGTCGGTGCAAAAGAAACTCTAAACAAGAAAAAAATAAAGATGAAAAAAAGTATTCGATCTTCTATCTAACATACGATATCTTATTATCCAGAAAATCAAACAGTTTTTAACAATTTAAAATTCGACTGATGAATAACAAAAGCTTGAAAATGCTTTAACATTTCAAAAATCGATTTTCCAAAAAGGTACAATTTATATAGAATGTACAGTTTATAATAAGTATGAGGTTGGAAAAATGAAATTCTAGTCATTTTTACTAGAATAATCTGAATTATCACGACTCAGCATCTCGAATTACTTTGATGGAGCATTTAACATTTTTGTAAAAACTTATTCAAAATATTGATTTTTTTTTTGAGAGAGTTTTATATGATTCGATGAAGAACACTTGGAGTTATCGTTAAATTAAAAAATCTTTTTCTCTGATAGAGTATGACTGAAAGATGAACAAAATGGACTTATTTTTCTTTCGAATGATCTGGATTGCTCCAATTGATCACAAATAACTTGAAATCCCTCGTTGCATTCACTTTGCGCCGTCTTTTAGTCATTCTTATAAGATAATGACTTTAAAAAATTAATTTTGTTTTGACAAGTCGATATCTACAGAGCAAGAACGGCGACTATAACATTGATTTGTATCTATCACATTTGACATGAGAACTCAGTTGCGTTTACAACGCACGAAATAATTTTATACAACTCTCTTTTAGGAAAAAAAAGATTTTATTATAAACATAAAGATTCATAAACAACGTGGAATAATTCATTTAGAAAAGACTTTACAAAGAAGACTTACATTAAATACAACAATGGAAACATGTTTGTTTTTAATTTTTTATATTTTAATGATAAAGAACCAACGATTTTTGTTGTGTGCATTTCAGTTTTCTGAATGTTCTATTGTTGAGCTTAGTATGAGTCATACAGTAATTGATGTTTATTGTAGTATTCAAGTTTTGATATTATTAGGATATAAAATAATTACTTGATTTAGAATTATTCTTTGCATCATTTTTAAAAATATTTATCTATTGTAGTATTTGAATTTAAGTAATTCCATGACATTCACCAAACACTCAATTTTTCTGTGAGAATCATTATGTGCTATATATCATCAATTGATCTATTTAGAGAAAAAACTTAGGTTTCATTTTCATTAGTACATATAATTATTTATTATGCTCACATATCGTAATAATAAGACATATACGTGTTACAAGATACCTTTACTTTTATAAATTTCCATCATTCCGCCCCTACTCGCCATACGGTCGATTCAATTATTATAAAAAACATAAAATATCTATATGAAACTCCAGTTTTTAATATTTAATCGTTTATATGGGAATCTTTTTCCAATAATGGCTTGAGAAAATTCTATTTATTAATTGTTGAAAATTCACAAATCATTCACTGTACACATTATCAGGAAAAAAAAATAATAAAATATTATGTTTTTTGCACAAAAAAACAAACAAAATAATTGTTCATTACATAAAAAGAAAATATTTATTCTTCTACCGAATTTAACCAATCATTCGAGATATTCATATTCCAATTATTCAAGAAATATTATAACAACAATTTATACTCATTGCAAAAAAACAAAAAAAAAATACTTCTTCACTGTATAAAAAATGTTTTATTTTTATATATTAGCGGTATTGATTGCTAGAAAATTATAAAAATACTGTTCCGATCTCACCGAGATTTTAAACTCTTCTGACATATCGCTTTCATCTACAGATCAATTTATTTTTCAGTTGATTCAGACTTCATGTTGTGCATTTACCAGTATGTATGCGAGTAATGGTGAGTAACCGAAAGACCAACAGGAAAAAAATGACTCATCGTCTCCTCTATATTTTCTTTTGGTTATACATAAATAATCGGTACTTCTTCAGATTACATACAGTCCTTCATCCTCACTCATTGTTGTGCCAGCCCATATGTGCATAGTGTGTGTATATTCCGAAGAAGAACCTTAAAAGGTTATTTTTTTCATTGACGGTCACATGAGATAAAAAAAAAAGAGAAAAAGCCTATCTAAATGTAGATAAAGCTCAAATTTCCAGGTGAGTAGAAAGACATCAATATGAAAATATACATCATTTTGCTCTACATTAGTAGCGATATGCACATCTACCTACGAGAAAACAAATCACTCTCTAAGAACGAAAAAAACAAATCTCGCTCTCTCTGACTATCTATGAAAAGAAAATATTTTTTCCTTGCTAGATTGTCAACGAATATACAAAGTCGAAGCATAACTGTACGAGTGTATTAGTCAGATACGTGTTGGTATACATTTACCAGTGTATCCTCAAGCGTCAAAGAGCAGCAAGTGGCTATGAATCAAATCAATACAATGGTTTCTTTAATCGTTTTTATGGTGTCGGTGGCAGCAATTTACCATACAGGTTTCGGAATTGAAAAAATTAAATATAATAAAATCGAAAAAAATGTAATGAATCGCTTTGAGAGAAAAAAAATGCAAAAAGCGAAAGGTCAGGTTCGATCCTGAACATACTGAAATTTTGGTAACAGGATACCTAGAAATACTGTACAATAGTACCCAATTGAGTATCTGATCAGTATGTTCAAGGACCCAGTTACTATACATTTTGTAGCAGGGTACCTACTAAAGTACCACTTAAGTACTTGAAAGCATCTATAAGTACTTTGGTACCCAAAAGTTTCTGTGATATACTGGTAACAGAGTACTTTTTCGGGTACCCTTAACTCAGTATATTCTCTAGGGTTGTACACATTTCTTTGGTGTAACTCACAATACAATGAATCTTACTAGTGTGAAATCGGTTTTTAATTGGAACTATGTCCATCACATAGATTCTAATGAGGTATGAATACTCTGAAAAAATTTCGTTAGATTAGAAGTAATCAAAAGATCTGAAACTTTTCTCATAAAGGCATGTTTCTATGCAAATTTTCAAGTCGAAATTCGAAACTCAATTTTCCTGAGGAGAACACGATATTCTGCTAAAAATTACAGTATCTCGACAGTAGTAAGCTATTAGCTCGAACCCTTTCCAAAGTATTCATGGCTGATTAGAACCTATATGATGCACATAGACCTAATTAAAAGCAATTTGACACTTACAACGAAACTACTCTAACGGACATTCGCCTTATCGCCGAGGTCACGATCGACTCACTGAATTTTCCATTCATTTGTGGGTAGTTCCCAAAAAATCCATGACAAAATTTCGATCTAAAATTTTGCCTAGAGATGACTCTTAAAATATTCTGAAAGTTTCAGCCAAAAAAAATGTTTCTTCGTCAAGATATTGAATTTCCAACAAAAGCCCTCTGTCACAATAATCGAGTTCACTTAAAAATTCAATAATTCGACGAGGGAACATTCTTTTAGGCTGAAATTTGCAGAATATTTTCAGAGTCATCTATAGGGAAAATTTTGGATTAAACCTTCCTCATTTGATCTACCACGACGTACCTAAAAATGGATCAAAAATCAAATCTATAATTTATCACAACTATGCTTGGAGTGCGAACGTAAATTATATCTATGCCAACTTAAAGCAACGCACATTGTCGATGATTCCGGAAGCGTTTACTTGAAAAATTCAATATATTATTTCATGCAGAACTTGAATATTTTCATTTATTAGTGATCGAATTATATTACTCATTTGTTCAAAGTGAACAGAAATCCACAAGAAACAAAAAAATTGAAAAGATTGCTGAATTTGAAAATCACATAGTTTTCAAAAATAAAATTGATCAAGTGCGACATCTATATAACATATGAATTTTTTTATTTTTAATTTTTTTGTAAATAAATAAACAAAGAAAAATAATTTATGTAAAAATTTTCTAAAACATATTTATAAAATGTTTTAATTCAATTGGTTTTTTATACTATTAGTACAACTTCCCAATGAAAGGTTACTCAATAATCAACGATACATTGATTTTTCTCACATGTTCTCCACGGTTAGTCCTGACCAACCAAATCTTCTCAAAGAAAGAAAATTAAAATCCAGCTGAAAAAATTACTCATCTTGATCGTAACTATTCATATCGGTCTATCTATTCTTTTTTTTGTTTCATACTTCTTACGTCATTCATTCAGATTAATTTTTTGTTCTAAACTCAATTTACACATTTTATTTCAATATGACTGATTATTGGAAATCAGGTGAACGACATTATTGTAAATTTTGTAAATGTTGGCTAGCTGGAAATAAAATTAGTATTGATTTACATGAACGTGGTAATCATCATAAAAATATGGTTAAAGTTAAACTTGATCAATTACGTAAAGAAAGTATTGAAAAAGAACATCAAAATAAACAACTCAATCAAACACTTGGTCAAATGGAACGTGCTGCTAATGAATCATTTCGTCGTGATATGGCATCGAATGCAAAGAATCTTTCACATTATGATACAGGAAATGATTCAACATCATCCGATATAAATCTTCCATCTAAACTTAAACGATCAATACAACAACCTGTACAAGTACAATGTAAAAAACCAAAATTTGTTATTAAAACTCCAACACCTAAACCAGTTTTTGAACCTATTGTTACATCAACAGAATCAAATGAAAAAATTGAAACGAAAAAAGAAGAAGAAGACGAAGACGAAGACGAAGAAGAAGAAGAAGAAGAAGAAGAAGAAAAAGAAAAACCAACAATAACAGATAATAATAATCAAGAAGGTACTTGGTATGAATCGAAAACTGAAACACAAGAATCATTCTATTGGAATGATACAACCGGTGAATCAACATGGACACCACCAGCTGTTTATCTATCAATTGAACAACAACGAGCAAAAGGATTAAAAGTTTGATTTATTGTTGATAGTATTTTTGTTTTTTTTTGTATTTCAAATTATGTAAACAGATCACTTTATGTTCTCGTATATAAATTTTAGATTAATATAAATTAAATAACTTGTTCTAATAATGTCGGGTGATCCACGAAAAAAAAATTATAAAAATACTGGACTTGATAGTGAAGAATTACGTAAACGACGTGAAAATCTTAATAATATATTACGCAAACAAAAACAACAAGAACAAGTTAGAAAAATTAATCCATTGAATTTTTCTATATTAGATTTTTTCTTTGTTTTTTAGCATTTCAAACGACGAAATTTAGCAAGTACCAATGAACAAGAAACATCAACTTCATTTGCCGTTACCGACGAAATTATTCCATCCATTGGACCAATAGAATCAGTAAGAATTATCAAACGAATATTTCTGAACATTGGATAGTCCTATTAAAGATAGTACATATGTTGATATAAATTGAGGGTACCGTCTGTCTTTTGGACTACTTATTCTCAGCGAGAGTATAACCAAGCGGACTCGAATTTTCATTCCAGCTAGATTATCGAAAAAATATAAGACTTATGTTCGAGGAAAAAATTTTAAAAATGAATCTTCAAAAACTTTTCTCGAGGTATATAAGAAAACCTTACCAGATGTCAAATTGCTTTTCGATCGATACAATGCTTATTTGATGAGTAATAGAAAAGTCTGAAATGTTTTGATTTCAAATTTTGCATGAACTAAGTTCTCAATGAGATTAGTTAATTGTGTAAATTTTAACTTTTTCTAGTATCTTCTATCATGAGATATGGAATATTCGAAATTCTTTCATACGTCAAGACAAATTTTGTTTATATACTTCCATCTTCCGAAAGAAAATACTAGCAAAAACTAAAATTTGTGCAATCAACTAATCTCCTTGAGAAGTTTGTAGTCGAAAGTCGATTTTCCACACGATCTGATTGTACAGTTTGGTATTTCCGAAAATTCTCCGAAATCGTTAAATTATCAAATAGATATGAAAATTTTAAATCTATTTCGATAAATTTTTGCCATGAAATTATTGAGATTAAAGGCACCGGGATATTTCAGCAATTAAACAAAACAATATTATGCATATATACTGAAATCTTTAATCTCAAGAATGAAAAAAATGAAGATTTCTCGACATAGATTTAATAATTTTTGCATCCATCTGAAGAGAATCATAGCTTTTGGTTGAAAAACCTAGTAAATGAAGGTCCGGAAAATCAAACCATTTTAGACTTTTCTATTACTCATTAAATGAACATCGTCGTCGTCGAAAAGCTATATTTGAGACTTTGTCGCGAGTATCTCCAGAAGAGATTTCAATCCAATCGGATGTAGTAAGACCAAAGTCGTAAATGAGTCCGATGGTGATTTTTGAAGATCAGAGAAACAAAAATCTATCCTTTTTTTATTCTCAACAAATTATTGTTCAATACGATCATCAGACAATTCGTTACGGATGTCGGTATGAACGAGAATATCTTAAGACTAATAATATATTCTGTGATGTATTGTCCTAGTACTCTTCAATACTATTATCTTAGGTTATCACAAGTCAGATGGTAGCTGCATTATATGGTGATGATGCACAACAAATGCTTGAAGCAATTGTTCGTTTTCGAAAATTACTTTCAAAAGGTTTTAATGATTTTATTTTATATATTTAATATACTTAATATGTTTATTTATTCTAGAACCAAATCCACCTATTGATGAAGTTATAACAGCTGGCATAGTGCCTCGTTTTGTTGAATTATTAAAATTTCAACATTTTCAAATTCAAGTATGACTTCATTTAAATAATTAAAAATCTAAATTTACGAATCTTTGTTTTTTAATCTAGTTTGAAGCAGCATGGGCTTTAACAAATATTGCATCGGGTAATTCAAGTCAAACAAAATATGTTATTGATGCTGGTGCAGTACCAGTTTTTGTTCAATTATTAACTAGTACAAATGAAGATGTTCAAGAACAAGTAAATCTTTTTTTTTTTGTAATTATTTTTTTATTTTAAAGTACATCTATTTTTAGGCTGTTTGGGCTCTTGGTAATATTGCCGGAGATAGTCCTGACTGTCGTGATTATGTTCTTGGTACAGGTGTACTTCAGCCATTATTGAGGTAAATATTTATACATTATTAATATTTTATATGTCTATATTTTCTTAAGTATTTTTGCTCGTCATGCACGTTTAACAATGATACGCAATGCAGTATGGTGCTTATCAAATTTATGTCGTGGTAAAAATCCAGCTGTTGATTTTAATACAGTAAACGAAATGAAGTTTTTTTTTTTTTTTTTGTAAACTAAAGATTTTAATTATATCATTCAGGTTGCTCCAGCATTACCTATACTCAATCAACTTTTACATAATTATGATGCTGATGTATTAGCTGATACTTGTTGGGCTATATCATATTTATCTGATGGACCTAATGAAAAAATTCAAGCTGTTATTCATGTTGTTGATATTCGACGACTTGTTGAACTTTTAGCGTAAATATTTATGCGATAAAAAATAATATAAATATGATTCTTTATTTTATTATTTTAGACATCCTGTTTTAAATGTTCAATCATCTGCTTTACGTGCTGTAGGTAACATTGTTACTGGTGATGATCATCAAACACAAGTGATTATTTTTGCTTAATTATATAAGAGTAAAAAAGTTAATGGAAATTTCTTTTTTTCCTTTGAATAGGCTGTTCTTGATGCTGGTGTTCTTCCACATCTGTTAACATTACTTCAAAGTCAAAAAGAATCAATCAAAAAAGAAGCATGTTGGACATTATCTAATATAACAGCTGGTGTTCAAAATCAAATTCAAGTAAGCTGCTGAAGATTCTTTTTTTAATGAAAAATTTGCATCTGATCTTCTCTTATAACAATTCGAAATAAAAATAATATAGTTTTTAATTAATGTTTCGCCCGGCAAGGAATCTACAATATAACTAAACCTTCTATAGATTCGAATTTCTTTGTCTCGAACCAGCTTTAGCCTATTTTTATAAAATTCAGCTATTTTCTTGAAATAGTCTCTCCAATCGAAATCAATCCAAGATTATCATAGTTTCATTTTTCTTATTTATCCATCGAGCGGTCGAATCTTAATCAATTCTATTGCTAAGAATTTTTAAAAACGAATGTATATATAATTTAAGCACGACAGATGATGTTCGCTTATATCATCTGTTACATACTTTTAAAAATATTATAAACATGCCATTTCAATATGTTGTTTTTTTCAATCAGAAAATTTGAAATACCTCCTATCCTGTATTGAGAAAAACATGATCTTGTAACACCGTATGTACTAAAATAATCACAAAAAATCAATGGAAGTGAATTTCAAAATTCTGTTGGGATAAAAATATTGGCTTCAATTTGAAAACATCCGAAGCTCTGTAGTGACGAAGTTATAAACATAAATGCACTATAAATAGGCCAGAAGTTCACTCTAGATTGATGTATTGGACTGAAATTTTTACTAGAAGCATCACTCATTCCTGGAAATTTCAGCCCAAATGAATTATTCTAAATGGAAAATCTATTGTGAGAATGGGGGAGCTCTTAAGACGGTACATATATATGTGTCTGATCACATCGTGCCTCTCGTTTGAGACGAGATTCCAATCATTACGTAGAACTTATCTAATCTTAGCAAGTTCTACGTAGTGATTGGAATCTCATCTTAAACATAAGATATCACCTCGGATGATTCTCTCGTTAGATAAGTGTTTCTAAATTAAACATTTTTTTTTAAAGAAATATATGAGAAAAAAAAATTTTTCTAATTCGTCATTTTATAATTAAATTAAAAAATTTCGTTTAGGCTGTTATTGATGCAAATATAATTCCATCATTAATCAATATTCTTAAACATGGTGATCAAAAAACACGAAAAGAAGCAGCTTGGGCTATTACAAATGCTACATCAGGTGGTACACCACAACAAATTAAGTAAAATATTTTTCTTGTAAAAATTTTCTTTAATAAAATATTTTGTTTTTTTTTCTTATTTAGACATATTATTGAACAAGGAGCTATTTCACCATTATGTGATTTATTAAGTGCTATTGATGCTAAAATAATTCAAGTTGCTTTAAATGGTCTTGATAATATTCTTAAAATTGGTGCACTTGAAAGTAAACAAACAAATGGACAAAATTCATATGCTACAATGATTGAAGAATGTTATGGTTTGGATAAAATTGAATATTTACAAAGTCATGAAAATATTGAAATATATCAAAAAGCTTTTCATCTTATTGAAACATATTTTGGTGTTGATGATGAAGAACATATTCCTGCGGTAAAGATAATTAAAAAAAAAATAATAATAAATTTCGTTTGTTATTTTTAATAGCAAGAAGAGCCTCGTCCATTTGAATTTGGTACTACGACAAATAATCTTACATCACCTATGAACGGACAACCAAATCCTACAAATCAACAAGGCCCATTTCAATTTTGAACAAAATCAAATGATGAAATATAAATTCATCGGACATATATATATATATATATATACATATATCTTTTAAACTTGAAAATTTTCCTTTGTCATCGCGAACGAAAAAGTAATTAGATATTCATTTTTTTTTCCGACACGAAATCTTTTCTTTTTTTTTGCTATGGCCGGTGATGTATGTTTTTTTTTTGTTTTGAATTTCATCAGAATATGAATAGTGATGATGACAAATATGAGTGTATGCTTGATTTGTTTTTCTTTCGGAAAATCATATATTATTAAGTTATTATCATGAAAGAAAAAAACAAAAACATGTGCGTATAAATGTTTGTTATAATAAAAAGAAAAAAGAAAAAAGAAAAACAAAACAATATTCTATTTACTTTGAAAGAATTCCTGATGACAAGTCAACATTTTGTTATCAGTAAAATAAAATAAAAAGAACGTAAGAAAATATTATACTTTTAGATTTTTACAGCAATAAAAAAGAAGCTGCTATTTGGTCGAATATG